AGAGGCGCCCAAGATGGCCCAAGAGGGCCCCAAGACGGGCCCAAGAGGGGGCCCAGAGGGGGACCACGAACCGCAAGCTCGAGCCTTCCGCCCCAAGAGGCCGCCAGGAGGCCCCCAGGAGGCCCCTCAAGAGGCCCCAGGAGACCCCCAAGAGGCCCAAAGGAGGGCGACTTCATTTCTAGAGGTTCCCGAGCTTTTTCTCTCGATTTCCTCTTCGCTCTCTCTCTCTCTCTCTCCTTCTCTCTCTCTCTCTCCCTCACTCTCCCTATTTTTTTTTTGGGGGGGGGGCGAAGAAAAAAACCGACTGTAATCCGTCACAGAAGAAATCCTTTTGTAAGCGCCCACAAAGGGAATCCCATTGAAATCCTCTACAAAAGCAATCCTATTGCAATCCTCCACAAAAGGAATCCTATTGTAACGCGCCGCAAAGGAAATCCTTTTGTGGCGGCCAGGAAAGGTGTGGGGGGGGGGGGGGGCAGAGAAAAACAACAAAACATTTTTTTTTTTTCTTTTCGGGCGGGGGCGCGGAAAAAAAAGAAAAAAAAAAAAAAAAAAAAAAAAAAAATCAACGTTTTTTTTTTCGCCCCCCCCCCCCCCACTTTTTCCTGGCCGCCACAAAAGGACCCCCTTTGTGGCGCATTACAATGGGATTCCTTTTGTGGCGGATTACAATAGAATTCCTTTTGTGGAGGATTCCATAGGACTCCTTTTGTGGAGGAATACAATAGGATTCCTTTTGTGGAGGATTACACTAGAATTTCTTTTGTGGAGGATTACAGTAAAAATCCTTTTGTGGAGAATTCAATAGGATTCCCTTTTTATGGAAGATTACAATAGGATTCCTTTTCTGGAGATTACAATAGGACGTTCCTTTTGTGGACGATCGCAAGAGGCTCCCCTTTGTGGCGCATTACACTAAAATTCCTTTTGTGGAGGATTACAATAAGATCCCTTTTGTGGAGGATTACATTCGAATTCCTTTTGTGGAGGATTCAATCGAATTTCTTTTGTGGAGGATTACAATAAGATTCCTTTTGTGGAGGATTACAATCGATTCCCCTTTGTGGAGGATTCAATAAGGTTTCTTTTGTGGAGACTTACCATAGGATTCCTTTTGTGGACGATTCAATAGGATTCCTTTTGTGGGTGATTACAAAGGATTCCTACTGTTGCGGATTACACTAGGATTTCTTTTGTGGAGCACTTGAACAGGATTCTATTCGCTATTTGTCCCCTTTCTCTTTTTCCTCGGCAGCTCCACTTTTCTTGGTTGCCACGATAGGGTTCCCCCTGCTGCGAATGACACTAAGATCTCTTATTTGTAAGAAGGTACACTGAAAAAAACTATTGCGTTCAACGTTACGCTAGAATGCTCTCTGTAAAGAACTCCAACACAATTCCGCTTGACGGCGGTTTGTAATGGCGAACGTAAGTGAATACTACACACGCGAGAGATGAGCGATTCTTTCTTCACTCACTGCATGGCCTCTCGAAACGCACCCCTCGTACAGTTTGCAAGCAACAACGCCTCTGCAATTCCAGCCCTAAACGGTCACAGCACTATTCGCAATATTATGTGTAAGGGCATTCATTTTTTGAATGCCCTCTCTCGTGCAAGGCGTTAGCAAAGGGCGGGCCCCGCTCACTGCTTAGCCCACCACTTCTTCCACGCGCGGAGCTCTTTGGCGAGCTCCGCGTGGTTCTTCAAGGAGGAGCCAAGGTCGCAGCTGGTCTTGGCGTAGCTCTTCTTGAGAGCCTGAACGTGGCGTGTTGTGGAATTGTCATGTTACCACGGGTTTCCACATTTACTTCAAAATCTTTATGTAAATAGATTTTCAAAGGGACGCGGCCTCGTGCTTGTAGTAGAGCTTGTTGTACTCCGTCATCCAGTGGTCAGCCCTGGTCGTCTGTCCGTAGAGGCTCCTGTAGTGCTGGTTGCTGCGCCTCCTGGGGAGGAGGGGGGAAGGGAGTTCAGGGGTGCAATAATAATTATGTGTTGTGTTTTAGCGGGGTTGTTTGTAACGTAATGGTTGGGGGTATGTCGTGGGTTTTACCTTCCCCCCGGGTCGTTGCTTGCTCTGCCTTGCTGCGAGCTTCGGCAAGAGCTTTTTTCAGTGGCGCCACGGCGGCCCGCGCAGCCTTCTGCACCACCTTCTTGATTTCGGGCTTTTTCAAGAAGTTCACCGCCCTCTTGGTGGCCAAGCGCTCCTTGTTCGCCTGCTGTGGATAGACGATGGGTGGTGGAGTTTGTTTCTTGGTTCTTCGGTTGTTTTTTTTTGTTTGTTTTTTGTGCAATCTGCTTGGGCCTGGAGTTTCTCGTAGCACTTCTTACTCCCGTACGGCGGGTTCCCCATGGCAGTCTTGGACTTTATGTCGAGGGTACAATCGCCAGCAACAAGAATAGCACAATCGAGGCTAAGGAGCCAAGAAGAAGGGAACTCAAATTGCAAAGGGATGTGGGGAGAGGCGGGAGGGATGAACCGCAAGACGTCATCAGAAGTACTGCTGAAATTATTGCTTCGATGACAGCATCCACTTTCCCCTCTCTCGCACCCTTCTTCTACATCTTTCCCCCTCATTTTCCTTCTTCCTCCTTTTCTCTTCCTCCCTCTTCCCTCCCTCAAGTCTCCGCCGTGCCCCGGGATACTTTAGTGTAAGCCCCTGCCGCCGCCGGGCACCCGGATGCTTGAGTGCAAGTCCCTTCTTCTATTTGGCATTACACTGCAATCGCATTGCATTGCAATCGCATTGCTTGGCAATCGCATTGCATGGCAATCGCATTGCAATCGCATTGCATTGGAATCGCATTGCATTGCAAAGGCATTGCATTGCTGTCGCATTGCACTGCATTGCAATCGCATCGCATTGCATTGCATTGGCTGGGGGGGAGAAGGGAAAGAGAACGGGAGAGAGGACGGAGGACGGATGAGGAAGGGGGGGGAGAAGACGGATGAGGAGAGGAGGAGGGAAAGAAAGAAGGATGGACTGAGAGAGAGAGAGAGAGAGAGAAGAGAGAAGAATGAAGAAGTCAAGGAGAACATCACAAGAACTAACGAGAAAACGGGAGAAAAAGCTCGGGAACCTCTAGAAGTGAAGACGGCCAAAGGAGGCCCCGAGAAGCCCCAAATCGGCCCCCCAAATGCTTCGAACCTGCTTCCAGGAGGCCCCCGACAGGTTCAGAGGCTCCCAAGAAGCTACGTCAAACTCCCGGCGAGCGGCCGGGCGAGGCCCCCCAAAAAATCCCAAGAGGGTTCCAGTATTTGTATCCTTCAGCGCTCTCTGGCCTTCTTTCCCCTGCCCCCTTCCCTGCGACTTTCGTTGACTCAAGCTCGCCTCCTCTCCATTTCCTCTCTCTGCCTCTCTATCTCTCTCTCTCTGTCTTCTTCTCTCTCTCTCTCTCCATCTCTTTTTATTTATTTATTTTTTTGTTTCTCTCTCTCTCTCTCTCTCTCTCCTTCGCTCTCTGTCTGTCTGTCTCTCTCTCTCTCTCTCTCCCTCTCTTTCTCTCTCTCTCTCTCTTTCTTCCTTTCATATTCCGTGTCCTTGCGACCTTCTGCAGTCCCCGACGTCGCCACGGCTGGATTCGCTCGAGCGTGTCTTGTGATGTGCGGCGGTGCGAAGCCCGTCCCACTGATCAAGGCACAGGTACGAAATGATGGGTCCATCATTTCTTGCCTTCCCATGTGCGTTTTCCCAATCGATTCCTGGGCCCGAGGTCGCAAGAATTACGACGTCGGAGGTCTGGGGAGGCGGGAAGCACGACCTGGACCTCCGACGTCTTGGAAAAATCACGACGGCGGTTTCGGTCAATTTTCGGCCTCCGGGGCCCCTCGCAGGGTCCCGGGACCGTCAGAAAACGACTCAGGATGAAAAAAAAACACATCCCCAGGAAGTCGTCGAGAGGTCCAGGGGCCGCGCACAGAAAGCATCACGACATCGGACGTCCAGAGAGGAGGTAGGAACACGAGGAGGAGGGAGCCCAGACCTCCTGGCGACGCAACACCAAATACAACAAAAGCTTCCCCGCGACTTCCCCCAGAGACTCTAACTACAGAAACTCCTTTCGTATTCCGGCCAGAAGCATCCAGAAACGATGTACATTAGCCCTGGCGGGGGGAGTGATGGCGATGGTGATGTTCATGATGACGACGGTGACGATCCTAGCTAGAACCTAAGCGCGCGCGAAGCGCGCGCGTGGTTCTAGTATGTATATGTATATGTCCATGTACATGGGCATGTACTTAAGTTCGTGCATGTATATGTACGTGTAGATGCACATGTATGTGACTATGCATGTGTCGTTTTGTATGTACATGTCGATGCTTATGCACGTGCATATATACAACCATGTATACAAACACATATGCGTATGCATCTGACTATGCCTAGGTATACGTGCATGCATACGTGTATGCGCATGTGCTTGTAAACGTACATGTGTAAGTGTATGTATGTGTACACGTACATGTACATGTTTACTTACATATATATAGATATAGGTATATGCCGATGCATGCGAATTGACATGTGTATATGTATACGTGCATGTATTTGTACATGCACATGTACATGTATCGGTATGCATGTCTATGTGTAAGTGTTTGTTGTAATATACAGGCACACGTGTTTATATGTGTATACATATATATGTATGTATGTATGTATGCATGCATGTATGCATGTATGTATGTATGTATGTATGTATGTATGTATGTATGTATATATGCATGTCTGTATATGTATGTATATGTATGTATGTATGTATGTATGTATGTATGTATGTATGCATGCATGCATGCATGTATGTGTATGTATGTATGTATGTATGTATGTATGTATGTATGTATGTATGTATGCATGTATGTATGTATGTATATATAGGTATGCATGTATGTATGTATGTATGCATGTATACATATATATATATATATATATATATATATATATATATATATATATATGTATACAGCCGCGCTGGGGCGCCGCGCGCGCAAAGCGAGGCCCCCGGCTGCTGGAGCTGGACCTGGAGAAGCTGCTGGACGAGGACGCGCGCGCCCGATCCACAGGGCCCGCCTCGCCGCGGGAGCGGGCAGGAGGCAGGAGGAGGCGCAGGAGTGCTGCCCGGCCCAGGCCTGCGAGGCGAGCCGCCCCATCCGCCTCGCTACCCTGCTCCTCTCCTGCACGTGCACCTCAGGCAGGTGGTGCTGCGGCCTTTGGATTCGCACAGCGGCGGGGGCCGAGTCGGGTGAAGCTTCGTGGTCGCGTTCCCTGCTCCTCCTCTTGCGCCTCCTCCGCATCCTTTGCCTCCTCCTCCTCCTCCTCCTTCTCCGCCTCCTCCTCCTCCTCCTCCTCCGCCTCCGCCTCCTCCGCCTCCTTCTCCTCCTCCTCCTTTTCTCCTCCTCCGCCTCCTCCTCTTCCTTTTCTCCTCCTCCTCCTCCTCCGCCTCCTCCTTCTCCTCCTACTCCGTCTCCTCCTTGTCCTCCGACTCCAGGTCCTCCTCCTCCTCCTCCTTCTCCTCCTCCTGTCTCCTCCTGTCCCTCCCCCACGGGACGCGGGCGCGGCGGCCCTGCCTCCCTGGGCAGGACGGCGTCGCCACGCAGCCAGGCATCCCGGAGGCCGCGGGCGCCTGAGGCGAGGCGGCGCTCGTGGGCGTGGCTCTCCAGGCCGCCGCGCCGGGGGGTGCAGGTCAGAGAAGGAGAGGTCAGAGAAGGAGAGGAAGGGAGGGGGAGGGGGAGGAGGGGGAGGGGGAGGGGGAGGAGGAGGGGGAGGAGGGGGAGGGGAGGGGAGGGGGGAGGAGGAGGAGGGGGGGGAGGAGGAGGAGGGGTGCAAGGAGAGGTCCGTCGTATTGAACAACTCGTGTCGGAGGTTTTTCGCTCACGTCGGCCTGAAGGGGCCCTCGCCGGGCCACGGGGCCGTCAAAAAACGGCCCAGGATGAGAAACCGGTCCTGGGGCATGGGTCGAGAATTTCCGGGACCCCGTATGGAAAAATCACGACGTCGGATCTCTGGGACTACCCCTACCTCTATCTTTCCTTCGCTTTCCCCTTTTTGGGCCACCTGGGAGGTCCTCGTCGCCACCGCGGGCTTCGCCCCGAGATCGTGGCAAGAAGCAGTATCGGTACCTTTTGGTTTCCCCAGCAGGGGCAGCGTCTCCCACATGGGGGGTGCAGGACGTCGTTCTAGGACTCCCAAATGGAGGTCCGATCAGATGGGGTCGAAGGAGCGCCCTGCATCGCCAATGCATAGACGGTGCAGCGCGATGTGTGTTCCGATTTCCTCCACGCCGACGGCGCCGATGTATCGCCGACGTGGCGCGATCATCCGACGCCATCGACTCGGACCCCATTCGGGAGGCCTTCAGTCGTAGAGTTCGAGGTCGATTTCGGACGACTTCGTTGATTCCTGGCGGTTTCCCTGCACCCGTGTGGGGTGTGCGCGTGTGAAGTCCGCCCGTACCACCATTCTATCGCCATATACCGCCAACGTATCAGCTCAGGTATTGGCATACGTACTGCGCTGCTCTCTGCGCGGCGCCCAGAAAAAGGAGTAGCTAACCTCTTCCTCCTTCGTCTTTACCTACGGGCGCAGGTGTAGGATCGACCCGTCGGTCGTATCCCTATACGCGCACCCTCCTCCTCCGCCTCCTCCTCCTCCTCCTCCTCGTCCTCCTCCTCCTCGTCCTCCTCCTCCTCCTCCGCCTCCTCCTCCTCTTTCGCCTCCTCCTCCTCGTCCTCCTCCTCCTCCTCCGCCTCCTCCTCCTCCTCTTCCTCCTCATTCTCCTCCCCCTCCTTCTCCTCCTCCTCCTCGTCCTTGTACTTGTTCACGGCTGGCGCTGAGTTTCGTGCCGTGCCGCACCAGGCTGCGCCCGCTGCCAGTCGGCAGCGCGTGCGCCGGCTTCTTCCCGTGCCGCGTCGCACGCGGACCGCTCGCGCCCAGGGCTTGCGCGCCTGCCATCGATCCTCCTCGTCCTCCTCGACCCTCCTCGATCCTCCTCGATCCTCCTCGATCCTCCTCCTCCTGCTCCTCCTCCTCCTCCTCCTCCTGATCCTCCTCCTCCTCCTCCTCCTCGAATCCTGCTCCTCCTGATCCTCCTCTTCCTCCTCCTCCTCCTCCTCCTCGTCCTCCTCCTCCTCCTCCGCCTCCTCCTCCTCCCCCTCCTCCTCCACGGTGCTCTTCCTGCTCCTCGCCCACCTTCCGCGTGCCCGCAGGCCCTGGCCGCATGGGGCCCAGGAGGCGCCGCAGGGGGTGTGACACCGCCGGTGTCCCGTGCTCGGCTCGGGTCGGACGACGGTGGGGTGGCTTAAGCCTCGCAGATGGGGCAAGAGGATTGCAGAAACACCAGATTGTCTTTGTGCTTCCTCCCCTCCTCTTTCCTCCTCCTCGTTCTCCTTCTCCTCGCCCTCCTGATCCTCCTCCTCCGCCTCCTTTTCCTCCCTCCTCCTCCTTTTCCTCTCTCCTCCCACCTCCCTTTTCCCGCATGCGCAGTCATCACGCATAGTAAGTATGACCGATTTCCCAAGGTTCCCCGTGCACCCTTCCCCTTCGGCCAATCCTTGGCTGCTTTCGCTGGCCGCGCCCCGCTCGCAAAGTGTCGACATGGCCTTTCAAGGCCCTTGCATCCTTATCGTTCGCCCTTTTTTGTACGGGTTGATTGTAGTCTAGGTCTCCCATATGGGGTCCGCGTAGATGGGGTCGGAGGGTCGCGCCGCATCGCCGATGCATCACCGATGCGGCTCGATGTGGAACATGATTTTCTTCACGCCAGCGTCGCCGATACATCGCCGACGTCGCCGACACCGCCAATGTATCGGTGATGTATCGGCGTTGCATCGCTGATGCATCGTTGATGCGGCGCGATCCTCCGACCCCATCTACTTGGACCCCATCTAGGAAACCCCTAGGTAGGAAGCTGGGGATGGCAGTTTAAAGTCGGCTGGGGGCTGAGGTGGATGAGCACCAGTTCCGGCCAGCAGGATGGGGGGAGAAAGGGGCCATCTCGTCGCCATGACTGGACGCGACTCGAACAACCTCCTCCTGAGAAGCTGTGACTTCGGAGAAGGCTCAGAAGCTTTCAGAGACTTCGTCCCTGCATCTTCGGCCCAGCCTCGGCCATCATCGCGGGCACCGCGCATCCTTGTGACGCAGCAGTGTTCGCGTCGTGTCGACCTGTGGCGACTCCGCCGCTGGCGTTCCACGTTGAACGCCGCCGCCGACCCAGCATCGGTCGATGTTGGACGATCTGACGTTTCGGAAACGGCCGATCGTTCAAGGCTGAACGATCCCCGCGGTGTCAGAGACCAGCGCCGAAGTCGGCACGACACGAACCTGCCGTACGGACCCCACCCTGCGTCCGACCCGCTCTGCCCGAGCCTGCGGTTCCACCGCAGGCGGCGCCGCGCTCGCGCGCGGCCCGTCGTCGGAGGGCGCCAATTTCAGGGGCAACGTTGGGGGTGATGTGGCTCGGTTGGAGGGCAAGGTCGACCTGCTTCTAGATAGAAGACCAATATCTCGGGTCCATGCCAAATGCCGTTTTCGCTTTCTAGCCACACGCGTCTATAGACACATATGGGTGCCGCCACGTACATCGACGCATTCTGGTTTGATGCTCCTGCAGACGAGGCGGCCGATGCGTTCGGCGCAGTACCAGGTTGGAGACGGGGTAGATCCGTCTACGGTATGTTCCTGCTCTGGAGCAGGTCCCGCGTGGTACTCCAGAGGCTCGGGGACGTCCGCATCGATCCTCAGTCGCCCATCCATCGCCTGGGCAGCCCACCCCGCCAGGGAAGCGATGGGGGCTCGATGTCGAGGGCCCATGGTCGATCCGACGGCGGTGCATCGCCGCGTTCGGGCCGATACCTCCCCATCGTGAGCTGCTTCTCCTGAGCGATCCTCGCCGTCGGGTCTTCGGGTCATGGCCTCAGCCCGGGTCTCCGGCGGCCGCTCGGGGCGGTCCGGGCGCCCCCAGAACGCATCTCGGCGGGGCGCAGCCGCTGGAGGGCGTCCTGAGCCTGGAACTCGTTCGGAGTCGACGAAGCCAGGCGAAGACCTTGAGCTTGGCATCGCTCGGACGTGTGCATTTGTCCTGCGGCGAGGACCATCGAGGAGCATCCTCGACCATTTGGCGAAGAAGCCACGCACGAAACCGAAGAAGACACAGGAAATGGACGTCCGAGCGATGGCCAGTGAGCCTCGACCCTCGAACCCCGCTCGCCTGGGGGCCCATCCTCCCCGAGCGTCCTTGTGAGATCCGACGCCACGAACAAAAAAACAGCATCGTAGCACCATTCTTGACGCTTCTTGCATCCCCACCAGCCCATCCAGAAACAATTGCCGGGCGAGTTGATCAGGGAAGTGTAGAAGCATGCAGTGTAACAGCAGCTTCGGAAGCGTTTCGCGGGCGCAGACACGGCGGGAACGTTTGCTGCGTGATTCAACACATGTTCCCATGCCACACCGGCGTCAGTGGGGTCTCGGGGGGCCCTCTTGGAGTTATTTTTTGGGGTCCCTCGGGGTGGGGGGCTATCTTTGACAACCGGAGGCGGAGGAGGAGGAGGAGGTGGAGGAGGAGGAGGAGGAAGAGGAGGAGGAGGAGGAGGAGGAGGGGAGGAGGGGGATGAGGAGGAGGAGGGAGAGGCAGAGGCAGAGGAGGAGGAGGCGGAGTAGGAGGAGGAGGAGGAGGAGGAGGAGGAGGAGAAGGAGAAGGATGAGGAGGAGGAGGAGGAGGAGGAGGAAGATGAGGACGAGGAGGACGAGGAGGACGGGGAGGAGGAGTAGGAGTAAGAACTTAATTCTGGGGGGAGGAGGAGAACAAGAATAATGGGACGAACCAGTAGAAGGATGGGGGACGGAGAAGGGTATGACGATGAAGGCGACGAAAACAACGAGAGAGCCATAAAGTCTTCGATCCAGGAGCTTTCAATCCAGGAGCCTCTTGGAAGAGTCATCTCGGAGCGATTTCGGAGACATTTTGGAGACTCTTTGGCCCTATCGGGGGCCTTCTTCGGCCCGTCTTCGGGCCCTCTTGGAGGCCTCTTGGGGCAATCTTGGGCCACATGGCTCAAAGAAGAATGGGGGGGTTACTCGGGTCCCCCCTTCAGATTCTCAAAAACGGCGTCTTGGGGCTCTCTTCGGGCTCTCTTGGGCGCCTCTTTGGTGCTCTTGGGACCCTCTTGGAGCCCATTTGGGCCCCTCTTGGGTCATCTTGGGGCAATCTTGAGGCCTCAGAAGGCAGTGGGGGGCGAATCGGCGAGAAGGCTAAATACATTGATTTCCTTGGATCTCCAGCCGTTTTGGAGGCCACCCCACCTTGGGCTCTCAGGAGCCCTCTCGGAGTCATCTTTGGCCACCCTGGACGCTCTGACCCCTACGTCTCCGCCCCTTCCAGGCCCAGGGGAGGGGCCCCCCCATCCCCCGAGCAGGGGAAGGATGGGCTTTGGAAGAGATGAGATATCAGGAGGGGAAACACACACAGACACAATGCATCGTCGATCCCCAGGAAACTATTGGAAAGTATGGGAAGTGGGGGGGGAGGACAGAAACCCAGAACATATTGGAAAATACGGGGAATCTTTTTTTGTGTGTATGTATTTGTGTGTCCTGGGGCCCCTTCGAGATATCGAAGAAGAGAAAA